AAGCCCAAAAGTCTATTCAAACAATACAAATCAGGAGCAGAGCAAACACGGGCCTCTAAAATATCAGAGGTGGGATCAGGTGCAATGGAGGAGTGAGCATTTCCTGCCGACTGGTCACACCCACCGTGAGCTCCTTGTCATGATCGGGAAAAACGGGAAAATCTGTAAACAAGTCAGTGTGTAAACAATCTAATTAAAAATATATCTTTGTGACGCTCCGAAATTCTGATAGTCTTATACAAGACTATCAGAATTTTGGAGCCTAATAAAGATCTATTTTTAATCAGATTGGTGTAAAAATAATGTCATTACAATTAGTATGAAAAAAGTCAGTCAGCATTTGACTTAATGATAGATTGTATTTGCTGACAAGGTCATTGTATCGACCATAGAACTTGCAAAATGGTGACTTCAAACGAGACTGTCGATATTCTTGTTTCATCAACTTGTTTGTCAATAGCTTGCCTTGTTTTAGAAATTGTTCCTACGTAGAGCATGCTCTTTCGTATCGAATCTACTGAGAGACATAAACCCCATAAGCAGGTGATAAGGGTACATCTGTATATCGCTACATAAGTTAGGGAAGTTGACGATTGAATAACTGAAGTCAACAAGTTTATCATAATACTTGGTTGTTAAGTTACCATTAACGTCTTTTTCTAGTGAAATATCAAAATATAAAACAAATGCGTGAGACTCTGGGCTATCTTTTATTTCAAGCTCACTGGGATATATCGAGTCTACATATGAAAGAAAGTAACTATTGTTATTTGATAAAACGTCGTCGATATATCTAAATGTCGAGCTGAAGGCCACAGCAAGTGTTTTCTTTTTCTCATGTATAAGATTTTGAATAAATTCTGCTTCATATGAATACAAATTTAGGTCTGCTAATAACATGGCGCAATTGGTACCTATTGAAATTCCAACAGATTGTTGGAGGACCACCTGCTCTCCAAACACCACATAGATATTGTCAATCAAAACTCAAGCATCTTCTTAATGTCAACTTCAGAGTACTTGTGTGTACTATCAGATTGTTTTTTAACAAAATAATGTTGCAAATGACCAACGACAAGGTAAGTATATTTACGAGTTCCATTTTTATTGAAAAAGCAGTTGTCTATGATGTCAAAAGCCTGGACTTAAATTTTTCGTGGGGAATGGTTGTATAAAGTGTTGAAAGTCATTCGTTTTGATGTTACTTATTCTGGTAAAATTTTGTGATTTTCAAGTTTTCTAAAAGTTCTTTGGAATTTTTAAGTATCCACATCTGATTTACACCACTTCTTGAATATATTGTTATGCAGTACTCCTGATGTTTCTCAGTCACTGCTGTTAATATTTTAGTAAGAAGTAAAGGAGGAGGCTTTGTAGAACATTTACAATACAAAACAATCCTAAGACGTTTATTTTATTAAAAATTTCAACTATTTGATTTTGTCTTTCTCCTTAGCCATCAAGTCGTTCATTTGAATCATATATTAAAAATATATATAAAAAGCATATTTAAAAAGTAAACTTCATGATATTCTTCTGTGACCTTGTCAATCGGAAATATTATGTATTCTTCTTATACCCAAAGGGGAATAAACTGCACTTTAGAAACAGTACTTGTAAAAGAATTAAAAAAGAGTTGTTTTTCTTTTTCTTAATATGGGATACTTTAAAACCATTCTACAATATGCTGCTAAAGTGTTTGATTGTTAGGCATTAATATATGAAGAAAAAAACTTTCACACATATACAAAAACGTGTGTGAAAAGCTACGGCATTCAGCACCACGAACGGGGGGATCAAAAGGTTAAAGTATGCTTATATTTTGGCGTCACAAACGTTGAACGCCTTGCAAATGCAACGTCAGATTCGCGCTCAAATTCAACAGAAGCTGTGGCAAAGGCTCTTCCATTTGTTGTAACTTACCCGAGAGATAATGCAGGGATTTTGAAATATAAATCACATTTGCAGAGAAGGCGATGACTTAAAAATGTATATATAAGCATTGAATCATTATTATGTGAAAGATGAAATCTCATAACTGCAACGATGTGCAAACAAATATATTATATTATAGATTTTTCGTTTCAACTGAATATATTATTTATCGATGTAATTTGCATATTGAATACTTTATCTGTATTTAAACACGAGACGAGAAAGCTCGTTTTAATTTTTGTATTATGATTCTCTGTATTATGTGTTTTCCTTCTTCTTCTTCTTCTTCTTCTTTTTTTTTTTTTTTTTTTTTGTTATTCGAACACATCGAAAACATTTTTCCCATAATTTTCTGGATTTTTCTTTGGTTTAACAAGAAAAGTTGGCGGCATTATCCCCTTTTTTTTATTATTTTTAACAACAGTAATATTTTTCAATATCTGTCACTTTTGGCAATACTATCCAATTGAATCAATTTAAATAAAACATGATTATGACATTAATTCATACAATGAGCATGAGGATAATATTATGATAAATCCCTCTATAACCATTTTATTGGCTTAATATTGATCGAATCCTTCTTCAACGTCACAGATGGGTTTTCCCACAGCACAAATGAATTGAAAAATATGTCGAAATTAACAGTTTAAATATCGAATTGTCGGTTAATGTTTCACTTTTTAATAAGTTAGTTAGCAAAATGCTGATGAAAAAATTTAAGTATCCTGATTAAAAGTATGACCAATAACTTTAGAAAAATAATAAAATTTGATTGTATTGAAATGCTTATAGCCTCGGTATCAAGATACTACTATGGCAAAAATATATGACTAAGAATATATGTTTGTAGACTTTCCAGGCCTTAAAATGAGAACAATCTCGTCAACGAGAGAAACACACAGCAATGTTCATCTCTGAGAGTAACCCACGGTATCCACTCATCAGATGGGAAAATTACTCTTTAATTTATATCCTTTTTGATAGTGGTAATTCTCTCACTGAATTTGCTGTATTACTACACAGAATATCCATCCAATTTTTAAAGAGTTTAGTAAGTTTTCAAAGTTCCCAGTAAGACTACTGTATTTTATTTATTTTCCCTGTATTTCTCTCATGTTTTGTGTGCCTCATGGCATTACTTTTTATGCTGGCAAGATAGACTCAGTGGAACTAAAAACCATTCAACTGAACTAATCTATAACTTTTTCATTTACTCTCACAGTAAATGAAATATTGAAATAACGAACAGTATACAAGCTCAAAAGTACATTCAAACAATACAAATCAGGAGCAGAGCAAACACGGACCTCCAAATACATCAGAGGTGGGATCAGAGTAAATTTGTCCTTACATAGCGGCTTTACATACATGTACCATATCTCCCCTTCGAATGAAATGATTCAATCTTTAAACAATCACGTACTTCAAATGTGACATTATATATTTAAGGTGATAAAAAAATAATCTTAAGAGATGATTAACAAATATAAAACAAAGCAAACCCAGTGGCTACTTAAGTTGAAATAAATTATTAAAAAATATTAAAGCACCTGTTTAAATCACAAAGATAAAAGAATGACCACAGTGTGTATATTGCAATCTCCAAATCGACATGAAAGTTTTGTGATGTCTGTATCTTTTGTGTTTCACTGCAGTTACAATTTAAATCATCTCAACTGTTTATAAATGGCTGATTTGTTCAAAGTTGAGTACACCATGACTGTATTTCTGTACAATTGGCATTTCTTTCACGTCATTTGCTGATTGTGATGAAAAAAATATGTCATTTGTCTGCAGTAAATGTGACGACACCAAAGGAAATTATACACCAGACACAAATAGAAAATTATAGACAAGTCGTTGTAATGAAGATATGATTGGCGATGAGGCTTTTACCACTTGTTATGTACAAAGGTGATGAGATGGTTGTCGATATACTAGTATTCAACGTCGAAGAACTAAAAAAAATGTCGATGTTGGAACTGAGAAGAAAATACATGGAAATGGAGAAAGTGGAATCTGACTCTGTCAAAACCATATCGAATATATTATAAAAACCAGCATACGTGACAATATTTTTGCAACAGGTATATTTAAGTAAAACTTAATGTGAAATGCAAGAATTTTTCTTCTTCCAGGATCATTAATAAAGTTCTTAATTGTTTAGTTTTAAAATAAATACTTCTATTGCTGCATTTCAAGATACAGAATGCAAATTATATATAAAAGTATCCTTGCAAGATATTCACAATTTATGATACATTAACATTCTAAAAGCAATGATTTATTCATTTTTATTGAATTTTAAGCAATGATGTCTCATTTGAAACATATTACAGAAATACTTTCTCATGCGTGTAGGAGGGGGCTAGTTATGAACACAATAATTGAGCATGAATTCTTTTTAATTTGTTGTAATTAAACGTAACTCCACTGTCAATTTTTTAAAAGTCTTTTTAAACCAGATGAACAGATATAAAGTAATCAGTCTAGAGGACTTTGACCCTATGAAGATGTGAGCTCTTTAACAAGGAAGTATTTTTGATGTCTTTGGGAGCGTAAAGCAGGGTAGCCACTTCTTATGGGTGGGACAATGGAGTTTGTTTTCCCAGACTATACTAACCTATTTTACACAAGTGAAGCATTGACAAAGGTGCCGCTTTGTGTGATTTATAGCTTACTAACGAGTGATACCTTAACAAGTACACGGTTTTTCAATTTTTAGTGAATATACGATAATTTGGATATTATCGGGGCATTGGTTTGATATTGGTACATCAGTTAAAACTTGATATCGTTATAATCTTCTGACTCATGAATTCTAACTCGATAATTGATAAATACACTTATCACATAGTCTCTTTCTTTTTTAAACCCACTGACCTACAGAGCATTATTATAAGATACAAACATATCATTGTTTTAAACAACTAATGGATGGGTAATCATTAATCACGTGATCATATTTGAAACGTATATACCCGAGGAGATCTCGGGATTTTTTTTATTACTAAAACACAACTAGGGATTACAGAGTGTATATAATATATCTTCTTATGAAAATGCAGGCCACAGACAGTGATTTGAGCGTCTCATCTGACTCAAATGCAGAAGAAAATTTACATGACAATGAAAAAGACGATGATAGTGAAGATGATTCAGACGATACGTCAGAGTACGAGGAGAGTGTTATCTTTCAGAACGCTTGTCGAGAGTTTTACATCAACAGAAAAAATGCCACTGAATCCTTCAAAAACGATATCCTGAAAGACCAAGATAAAAGAAATTACAAAATGAAAAAGACCACTTCTATTGACGACGCCATGGTGCGACTGCGACGAGAAATGGTGAGTTTTCCCATTTTTTGTGTCTTCCTGCTCTTGCAATATATCCTGTTTATAGTGGATAAATGACAATAATTTTTTCTTTATTACATAGAAAAAAAATAGCAGGTTGTTTAACTCTTACTATAAGTTAGTTTAATTGAGTTAACTGGCGACAACATCATATTGCAACAAAAATTTCATTTAATGGATAGACACAAAATAATGACAGAGGTGTTAAACTTGGGTAGAAAAACAAGTTTTTGCCACAGTGTGGGGTCATTAACTATATAATTTTTTCTGAGGAAGTTATTTGAGTGAGAAGTTACCCCTGTATCAGTATTACATATAAAACTGTTCGTGATTGTGTCTGTTTAATTTGGCAAGTTCATGGTTTGTTTTGTGAGGAACATGCAGAAGGAACACATTTCAATATTCACAATAATATTATTAAAGAACTCATATTTCTTTGATAAGATCAAAATAAACGGGCTTTCTTTCACCGGGAAAATAAGTTTGAAAGGAAAATTATTAGAGCTCGAAATATAACTTGATTTTCTGTTATTGAGATTGGATTTCTTGAGTTCATTTCCATTGGATACTATTTGTACGTGTGGTCCTATTGATTAAATGAAACGTCATTAGTGCATAAACAATGATTTTTTACCTTTATTACAATTTTCTTTTTCGAGGAGTTAATTGTCCATAACAGAAAAAAAATATAATGTAACAAAGGCTAGTACGACTTTTCCTCAAAGTTTGTAAAAAGGCGGGATGAAAAAAGTCTTTGGCAAGATTTCGAAAGATTTTCCGAATTTTTTTTTTGAAATTAAATTTGTATATTTTTTTTTCATATTTCACACCTTTATCAAAGTTAAATAAATTGTTAAGTTATACAGCAAACGTAATTCAATGGACAAAGTAAATACATATATTTTCACTTTATTTATCTAGGCTTCCTTGATGGACCAAGACCTGACACTCATGGAACAACTGTTGACCCTTAATGAAACAATAGAGGACATCAAAGTGAAGAGACACTACGGCTCTAGTCGGGAATCATTCTACAGCTCATGTGACTTAAACAGTGGGTCTGACTGGTCACTTCCGGCCAGTACGGGTCCATTTCGTGGTTCCAGCTTTTTCACTGGAAAAGCTACTGTTGCTATGTCATCCACTGAAAATCTGAGAGACGCTGGTGATGGCCAGATTTCGCAGGTTGATTCTGGTTACAATTCTCCGTGATTTTCTGGCGGATGGGATGGCGATAAACGGTGCTAGACTGTGCAATGAAACAATCAATAGAAAGAGAAAAAAAACAAATATAAAGGTTAACCGAGCTATGATTGTGCCAGTATGTAACAATACATTATCTAGTCATGTATTCTATTTTGTCATCGAATTTTAAAATCAATGTATTCTCATTATGATATAATACAATGGAATATTTAAAGTGTATTCTCATCAAAGTCGCTCAAGATATTATTTTTTAGAGCTTTTCTCGTCTTTGTTGAAAATTGTATGTACAAATCTATTTCTGTTACAAGCATAAGAAAAGAACAGAAACACTCCACAATATGAATCGATAACTTGACACGTTGTATCTTTTGTACAAGATAGATAATTAGAGGAGATGATGGTATCTTTATGTAGCTTATCTTTATGAACTGATTATCTTCCAGATTACTCCATTTCTTTTATTTTCAGTCCATCTCCTGTTAGTATTGATCTTATACGGAGACTTGGGAGACTGGATTTTTTATTATGTAAAAAATCGTTTCTTAATGTTTTACCGCTTGTACAAACGGATATCATTACAAGATCTGGGGTCCTTTAAGTGACTTCCTATTGTTCCTGTCTAGTTATCTTGTTAATCTCTGAAGATTTGGCAAATGTGATGACAAAAAGAACCCCTCTTTATGACGTCACAGTATACAAAATACCGTCCGTTCGAATATTTGTCCATTATGTATAGTGTAAAAAGTTATTCATCACTTGATCGAATGGCAGATAGCTTTTGTTGTCTCTGATAGAGAATAGTGGAGTTACTGTAGGAAGCAAATAAAGAATAAAATACATTAATAAAACTTGAAATACTTCTTGTTTTTCTTTGTTATGACATAAACACTCAAATGAAATTTATGTATTTAATGGATAGGATAAAATTGAAGCGTTTATGTAAAATAGTCTGGCAAATGACGTTAAAATCATTTTGTATTAATATAATGTTTTACATATTTCCCAAACGTCATTAACTCCCCTGATATTTAAAGAAGGGATTGTATCAAGAGATTAAATAATGAGTTCCTAGAAAAATGAAGGATTTTATGGCGTATTCAGAAAGATTAGAGACTCGCAAAGTGGTTGAATATGGGCGGGGTGGGGTCCTACCAAGAACCTGTGAGGTAATCCTGTCTTAAGATCACTCTGCCAGTGCGATGTTAGTTGCTCTTTATGTATGTTTGCTTGTATTTCTTGTGTTAATTATTTGTTTTTATTTTCGTAATTATGAAATGGCAATACTGATCAAAGCAGATTTCAGGTGGCTTTTTTCAGTAAAAATTAAAGATAGAACTGGTATATGTATTTACATGTTATTTATTGTATATCAATATAGGCACGACAGAGTGTATAATATCGGCGGGCACCATAAGAAAGATAACAATGACATCATAATTATACATTTCAAAGATCCTAAGAACAAATTCGATTTTTTATCATTATTTGCATTGATTTTAATTTGCACTTTGCTTATTATTTTAAAAATCTTTGCAGCAGCATTAGTGTATCAACTCAAATAACATAAAACGAGACATGCCTGGAACGTCTAAAACAGTGTTAAGAATTCAAAGAAGTTACAACTTACTTATCCTAAGAAAAGTAAATTTTATTGAATGAATGGACTTTTTAAAATTTATTCTGTATTGTCATGGAACGTTTAAATAAATTTCAATATTTTAGGGGGAAACTGAGATTTATAGGCAGTGGAATCTCTCAAAAGAAGATTATCGATATCTTCCTATTCTTTAACAGAATGTTGCCAAGAAAACTTTAGGTCCTTTTTTTTATGAAGAAAGACGTGCAAATTTGGATACAATCAACCCTCGATCTGCACCCAAAATAATGACTCGTTTCCTGTTTTCTCAATATTTCAATAATTAAAAGTGTTGCAACTTTAAAATTTATTTGAAATAAAAATCTGCCTTATTCTTTTTTAATACTAAGATAGAGAATGAAATGTTTCGTAGACACAATGACTAAATTGAATAAGTATTTTTGTACTTTGTGGATTATTTTTTAAATATAAACTTCATGAGGAAAGTGACAGAGTTTGCTGAAGGTGATTTTGCTTATAATGTCATTGATAATTTTGTTTTTCTAGACGACTTTCAGCGATGTTTTTAAAAAGACAAGTCTCTTTTCACTGATATAGAAATAGGATTTGAAAAATTTCAATAAGAACTTTTTTGTTAAAGTTTTTTTTTTAAATAATAAATTCTCTATCGGAAGGATGCTATGCAGAATTATTAAATTTGTTTACTTTATTTCAATAATTACAGTGTGTTCATTTTTAAAGTTTGCGTTAAGCAAATAAGCCTCTTATATATTATTTTCATTCATTTTAATGCATTAATTAAGAATTCTCGGCGGGGTATCGTTAGATTAGCAAATATTAGCAATACACTGGAAAATCGGTGACGTCACTGATGGATTTAAGTATTGTAATCTTGTGATGGGAGGAGATTGACTTTTCAGATAGAGCCGAATCACAACTTTACAACATATCCAGTGATATATGTGTGTCAGTGAATCGTAATTACAATCAGTGGGAGCTATTACAGTAATGGACCAAACACTATATCGGTAGTAACTATCACCCGATGATGGCGCTCTAACGAAATGATCAATGTTTGTAGAGTTTGATCGGGTTTCACGGCTTAACACAATAGTAGAAAAGGTTTGAATGATCATTGTGAATTTGCTACTGTATCAATAATACATAACTTACATTTTAATCTCATTGTTGAACTTCGTTCTACCCCAATTTGTCTCTCCTCCGGTCGTCTGTGAGTTCCAGGATTGGCGCACAGATCACGCTGCTTGTGTTGCACGAGACATTTGATGTTATCTCGACTTCTGCTCGAGATCAACCACTTTGGACTTGAGTGACGAAGGTAAGCGAACATTTCTACAGCTGTCTCGATATTTTATTGATATTGATTCACTTAATAATGTTCTCCAGTTTTTGTCTAAGTAAGATAAGCAAATTAGACGTGTATGCGTGCTGCAATTTTCTTGGGGGTATTTCGTTTTTTTGAGTGTAAAGGTAAGAATTTCTCGCAGAAAATACAATGGAATGAAAACATAAGAAATATATGTTGCATTTAGTCACTGGGTTGTTATGTAGATATGGCAGTTCATCCGGTACAGAATCTTAGTACGTTCTGCATCGTGCAATTAGCAGCTGATTAGTGTTCATCCAAATGCTTTTCGTCTTCTCAATTAGGATGGAATTTTTTTTAGAAAGATTTTCATCTCCTTTGGCTAATACTTTTCATTTTGATATCATTGTAATTTTTGGAAGTTGTATCATATGTATGTAGATCTCCCTGATATTATTTGTGCATTTGGAAACCTGTAAAATCAGCATACAGTAATGTGATGTAAATAGTCTGATGTTCAATTTTTTTTCTGTAGTAAACTTATATGACTATGATTTAAAAAACGCCAGACTTTTTTTTTTCAAGTTCAGTATCTCGGTTTCATGCAGCTAACTGTTTAATAAGATTTTGTACATAACTATGCTTTACTTGAACGAAAGATATTTTCCTCTCAAAATATACCAAGCTAAACAACAAACGCAACAAATAAATTAATCAACTATTAAGACACATGTCAATTTTTGGTATCATGATATTTTTGGTGAAATATTTTTCTGTTATTTATAACTGTGATTTTCGTAAATATTTTTTTCATAGAAAACACGGTTCCTGTTATCGACTCTCCTGTTTGATTCCGTGGCCTTTATATTTATGTGTTACTTATTACACAGACCATTAAGATAATTACAGGGATAATGAGGCCGCTCGTTGGTTCTGTTTATTTATTTATGAAGTTTATTCACAATCATACATAACGATTTTATCGATCTGTGCTCAATCTTTAACAGCTGTGGAATATGACCTCTAAATACATGGTTTATTATTTTTTTTATTTTGGAAATGAGTGATATTAAGTTCAAACGTATAATAATCAAAGACAGACTGTGTAAAATTCTTGTTCCTTTGCTCATTGTAAAGCATCGTGGTCTTGTTCAAGTATTTGATATCAATCAAAATCGTTTGATAGGAAATAAGCAACTTAATAGTTGGTTATAACCTTGCTTTTACTTGCAGTAATTGTGTGTGATTTTCGTGATCTATTGCTGCATAAACAAAATGAAAAATACGACGGTCATACCTGTACTTTTCATTAATGATGGGAATTATCAACCTGTATCACGTTTACTTGCCTGGGGTCGCCATTTTCACCCATATTCTCAAGTGCACTAAGCACCCATATGTTTATTACTTTCAACATTGTTTTTGAACATTCATTAATAAAACCGATAAAATCTTGCTAATTCTAATATAACATAATAAGAATTTTGTTTATCTATTTATTTTAGAAATTCGGGATATTAATACCATAAAGCCCGAAAGATTAACATGTATGTGTTTTGAAATGATACCTTAATACTTATATTACATTTATGACTGATTTCTAACAAATCTTTGCATATTGGATATAAATTGAACGACCACTTGTGACGTCATTTTGAAACTACGTGGATCGTTTATGACTTAACAATGAATTTGTGGTCATGTGACGAACCTGTTTTTATACAGGTTCAAATACGCTTTGCTAAAATAGAGTTATATAAGGGAAACATATGCCAATGTAAATATTTATTTATAACCATGATAACAATACTTCTTTACAAAGTTATAATGATTGTTTTTTTTTTAATTTAAATAATGCATATGTACCTTATTACAGAAATACCTGCAAGCGACCCGATATCGTCATGGTTTAAGTGCATATACAGGGAAACATTAAAGTCCTCATGAAAATGTAAATCAAATTGGAGCAATGTAAATCATTAATGACGAGGACTGATGAAATGTAATGAGTGTCATTTTAAATGCATGCGTCTTTCACGGTCTCCAGAGAAATAAATATGTAATGAATTGTTGTTAAATTGCTGTTGTCGACATAAATCGATAAAAATAAAATTCTAATTAAATACGATCCTCTGAGAGCAATTGAGCCACTGATAGTTGCGACATCAAACAACTGTTTCTCCAACAGACCCCCTACGATATATCTGTTGTGTATTTCCCTGACATCGGATTCATTGGGTGCATTATCGTCGTAAGGGGGTTGGGACCAATCTCCAAAGGATATAGTTCGTCATTTACATGCAATATAATTTACCTCGCTAAATAGATTCTGATGCCAGACATTGATGTCAAAGTGAACAAGCAGAAGGAAGAGATGGGCAAATTTTCACGCACCTCTCTTATTTCACTTGACTTGTTTCTTACTATATATTTAATGACATATATACTTTGCTAATTCAAAATTAGTTTATACACATAACTATGGAAGTCCCGGAGGACATTGTCTTAATTTTTTTTTTTTTTTTTTTTTTTTACTTTTTTATGATTTTTTAAAATACTTTTTTTTTTATTACTGGTTACTAAATGTGACATTGCAGGGAAGGACGTATATCTTAGCTAACGTGTATTACGATTATTATTAATTTGAAAATATAAGATGTTAATTAATGTCCTTCAGGGCTTTGAAAAAATCGCAATGTTTGTTTTGAAAAAATAAACCTGGTAAACCTATACCTTTCCTAGGATTTGGATGTAAAAATACTCACAGGTATTTATCTGACTCCCGGTGAGTACTAGAATGAAGTACATTGATGTATTCTAGCCTGATCCGTCATTAACGTGATATAAGTACATGCGTTTGTTGTCAGTCGATAGGAATCTTGAGCATAGTTATATAATCATAAAAACCTCTGAAATTAGCTGCTATCTAACTAGAAGAAAAAAAGCAATGATAACATCGGACTTTGGTCGTCATGGCAACTCTTTCAATTGAAAATTTTGTAATTTTTGATGAGATTAATTTCACGAGATCACAGAAGTTCGCCGTTTTCCAAATGTCGGTTGCCCTCCTTGTTAAGTAGGTTAATAGATTTAATTTTTGTACAAGATGCATTTCTTTTGATGTAGTAAGTGCATCTTCAGTTTTGTTGCAAAAGTCACGATTGTTCAGTTTGGTATTTTACCATCGTCTGTCATGCAAACAAACGATTACGTATCATGGGTTAAATAACATATACTATAAATCATACAGGTAAATACTGAGTGTTATGTCAGGTGGATGATCGCCGTCTGAGAGTCATGATTAACTGTCACTGATCTTTTTCAGATATCCCACGTAACTTAGCCATTCCCAAAGGAGTTTCAACTTCAGAGGTTGCCTTCGGTGAATTTGTGGAGAACGTTGATTTTTCGCGCCAAACAGCACCTATCTAGAGGACGCGTCAAATGCCCCAGGCTTATGGATATGACTGTTTGACACAATTTTATATTGATTTTTATTTTTACATATACCTATCTATGATGTTTGATGAAAGTGAAAATTCTTTCTGGAAGATTAATTATGTAAAAGTGTTAATCCTGTCATATGGAAACAAATGGGATGGTGAGTAAGTTTTTCAATGCTTCAAAGTTTATTATTTGCAGAAGTGAAATCGAACCAAATAGTATATTGACATTGCAAAGAGTTGTAATTAAATCAAAGATCAGGGGAATTTTAAACAAACAGAATGCTTAGTTCTATGATCTCGTGCGAAATCAAAGTTACAGGAAAATGACAGACGGAGAGAATAATGGATTAACAGTAGACAGTTAACCATTTCTAGTTAAAGTGAAACAGTTTGTTCGACATGTCGTTTAATAACAGCTCATCAAAACCCATTGAAAGGTTGATTCAACTTTTGCATACAACATGTGGCCTAATCAATGGAAGTAATAACATTCAGATTACTGTAGAAAATGGTAACCTTATTCATAACTGTACTAGAACCCCTGACGAACAACCATCAGGGGCGGATCACGGCGCTGTCCTGTACATTGTGGCAGTTCTGGTGTTTTACTCAGCCGGCATTGTGATCATGTTAATCAAATATTCTAGATCAGAACGGAAACGAATGGAAGAGGAGGTGGCTCTAGATTTCTTTTTCAAGGGAATGCCTTTCGGCAAAAGCACAAAAGAACATAACGTGAACAGTGTTGCTATCAGGGCCTTCCATACAATGACTATGTCCGCATACGAACCCAGCAAAAATCACATCATTCCGAAACCCTTATTGGAGACGGACGTCTGACACGCTCCTGACGGCAGGCTGTTAGATCTTAATCCCCGACAGAGGGCGATGTTGACAGAAGCAGTCTTCACTGTTTACAAGAGGCAGCTGTGTTTAACCCTTATATCGTCATAAGGAAAGGCTGTTTAGCAATTAAGCTCCATAAAGCTATTTAACGATATTGCAAACAGAATTTTCCAAATTAAGTTTAAGGAAATTTAAAATCTGCCAACATATTTTAAGGGATATAATGAATGTGAGAGATTTAGTGATGGAAACAGTCAAATAAATCCAACCTAATTGCTACTTTATGCAATCTTGGAAATACAGAATTATGAGTTTGCGAAATTTAATTTTATGCTTTTATTTTAGTACTCTAGTTGATAGGATTTGATGATGACAGTGGGTCCTTTTTTTTTTTTTTTGGTGTTGTAATTAGTCCCTACTTGGATTGTTAATCTTTATGATGATAATCAAAGCTACTATGTGATATGTAACAATTATCTCACAAAGGTGCCACCTTACCTGACATTCCATATTGGTTCATGAATTTCTTATTTTTAACAAATCATCTTCATTTGTATATTTTCAAATTGGTGATTAATAAATGAATACTTTATTTTAAATCATTTATGTCCACAATATTTTACATAAGTGAGTAATGAGCGAGTAGTCTCAGGGGCACCAGCTCTACAGGTTCCTCCTAACATACTTACACTAGGGAATGGTAGAGAGCGGTTTTAATGATATTCTTCCTGGAATCTGTCTGTCAATGACAACTATAAAGTTCTGGTGACAATTTGCTGGACCAGAAATATCCCCGATATTTGGTTTCTGTGTCAGTCTCTGTACTTAATTCTTGTTATCATGTAATCACTACTGCTAGATTAAGATTAATACCAAGAGAACGGACTCATTGGTGACATATTCCACGACATCACAGCTTAAGTATACATTCTATCACTTCAAGCGCAAGAACGAATACTCTGAAGAGAAGATAATCACACTGTTGTTTAATATAATTATATTTTATGTCAAATTGGAAGCTTAGAACAGTGGATCAGTCGGGAAATATCTATTGTTTAATGTATTCAGACCTTATATTGTTGAATGCTTGCAGAATCTGATCACCAAACACAACTGAAAAACATTTTACATGTACTTACTTATATCTTTGCTCCTTCAGAGAAAATTAAAGGTCTTGGCAACAGACCTTTCATTTGACAACAGACCTTTTATTTGACAACAGACCTTTTATTTGACAACAGACCTTTTATTTGACAACAGACCTTTTATTTGTTGTTGTGTAAAAGGTGAAGATAAGGAACAGTGATCGATCTCATAAATCCAGTAAACAATTGTGAACAGGGCAAAAACACGGACCCATAGAAATACCAGAGGTGGGATCAGGTGCCAAGGAGGAGTAAGCAGCCCCTGTCTAATGATAAAGTTGTCAATAAATTAATTAATATCAACACGTTCGTCATTAATGATACAATACACACCAATGATAGATAATCAGATTTATGGCTATTAGTGTCGTCATTTAACTATTCAAAATTGTATTCACAAATGATTATGTCACTAATGTACCCATCTGCCAATGCCCAATATTACACAAGTGGAATTTGAATCAACAGTGGTTACTAAATACCATGAAAACTAGAATTCACAAAACGGTATATATTTTAATTCTACAAGTCATAGTATGAATGTACTGTCTATAATGCAATATAGCACTATAGACAGTACATTCACACTATTACTCGTAGGATAAAAAAATCATCTTTGAAATCAGCTATATCTGTCATACATGTAGAAGATCATAACCACTGTAAAAAAAAATGTAAGAAGACCAATAAAACACAGTTCCATTAATCAATGTATTAAACCGGAATCCAGAACTTTAACTTTTAATGGAAATAAATCCGACAAAACAAAACTTTAAGAGACTTTCTGTCATAAAAGACCATAACCCTGACAAGAATTGTCAAAATCTCATAAAACTCAGTCTTAATCTGCAACTGTGCTATTCACAGTGGGGTTCCAAACATTCTATTACCTAATGTTTATCTCAAAAAACTTTCAGGAAAGCTGAAATCTTATTGATTTGTTTTGTTATATGAAGGGTCATAACTCCATTAATATAAGGATGGAAATCCCATAATGCTCAAACTTGCTCTGTCATTCTTTTTTGTACAGTTGTCTCCAATTACAATTAATTTAATATCTCAAACTTGCTCTGTCATTCTTTTTTGCACAGTTGTCTCCAATTACAATTAATTTAATATCTCAAACTTGCTCTGTCATTCTTTTTTGTACAGTTGTCTCCAATTACCATTAATTTAATATCTCAAACTTGCTCTGTCATTCTTTTTTGTACAGTTGTCTCCAATTACAATTAATCTAATATCTCAAACTTGCTCTGTCATTCTTTTTTGTACAGTTGTCTCCAATTACAATTAATCTAATATCTCAAACTTGCCCTGTCATTCTTTTTTGTACAGTTGTCTCCAATTACAATTAATTTAATATCTCAAACTTGCTCTGTCATTCTTTTTTGTACAGTTGTCTCCAATTACAATTAATTTAATATCTCAAACTTGCTCTGTCATTCTTTTTTGTACAGTTGTCTCCAATTACAATTAATTTAATATCTCAAACTTGCTCTGTCATTCTTTTTTGTACAGTTGTCTCCAATTATCATTAATTTAATATCTCAAACTTGCTCTGTCATTCTTTTTTGTACAGTTGTCTCCAATTACCATTAATCTAATATCTCAAACTTGCTCTGTCATTCTTTTTTGTACAGTTGTCTCCAATTACAATTAATCTAATATCTCAAACTTGCTCTGTCATTCTTTTTTGTACAGTTGTCTCCAATTACAATTAATCTAATATCTCAAACTTGCTCTGTCATTCTTTTTTGAACAGTTGTCTCCAATTACAATTAATCTAATATCTCAAACTTGCTCTGTCATTCTTTTTTGTACAGTTGTCTCCAATTACAATTAATCTAATATCTCAAACTTGCTCTGTCATTCTTTTTTGTACAGTTGTCTCCAATTACCATTAATCTAATATCTCAAACTTGCTCTGTCATTCTTTTTTGTACAGTTGTCTCCAATTACCATTAATCTAATATCTCAAACTTGCTCTGTCATTCTTTTTTGTACAGTTGTCTCCAATTACCATTAATCTAATATCTCAAACTTGCTCTGTCATTCTTTTTTGTACAGTTGTCTCCAATTACCATTAATCTAATATCTCAAACTTGCTCTGTCATTCTTTTTTGTACAGTTGTCTCCAATTACCATTAATCTAATATCTCAAACTTGCTCTGTCATTCTTTTTTGTACAGTTGTCTCCAATTACAATTAATCTAATATCTCAAACTTGCTCTGTCATTCTTTTTTGTACAGTTGTCTCCAATTACAATTAATCTAATATCTCAAACTTGCTCTGTCATTCTTTTTTGTACAGTTGTCTCCAATTACAATTAATCTAATATCTCAAACTTGCCCTGTCATTCTTTTTTGTACAGTTGTCTCCAATTACAATTAATCTAATATCTCAAACTTGCCCTGTCATTCTTTTTTGTACAGTTGTCTCCAATTACAATTAATCTAATATCTCAAACTTGCTCTGTCATTCTTTTTTGTACAGTTGTCTCCAATTACAATTAATCTAATATCTCAAACTTGCCCTGTCATTCTTTTTTGTACAGTTGTCTCCAATTACAATTAATTTAATATCTCAAACTTGCCCTGTCATTCTTTTTTGTACAGTTGTCTCCAATTACAATTAATTTAATATCTCAAACTTGCTCTGTCATTCTTTTTTGTACAGTTGTCTCCAATTACAATTAATTTAATATCTCAAACTTGCCCTGTCATTCTTTTTTGTACAGTTGTCTCCAATTACAATTAATTTAATACCTCAAACTTGCCCTGTCATTCTTTTTTGTACAGTTGTCTCCAATTACAATTAATTTAATATCTCAAACTTGCTCTGTCATTCTTTTTTGTACAGTTGTCTCCAATTACCATTAATTTAATATCTCAAACTTGCTCTGTCATTCTTTTTTGTACAGTTGTCTCCAATTACAATTAATTTAATATCTCAAACTTGCTCTGTCATTCTTTTTTGTACAGTTGTCTCCAATTACCATTAATTTAATATCTCAAACTTGCTCTGTCATTCTTTTTTGTACAGTTGTCTCCAATTACAATTAATTTAATATCTCAAACTTGCCCTGTCATTCTTTTTTGTACAGTTGTCTCCAATTACCATTAATTTAATATCTCAAACTTGCCCTGTCATTCTTTCTTGTACAGTTGTCTCCAATTACCATTAATTTAATATCTCAAACTTGCCCTGTCATTCTTTCTTGTACAGTTGTCTCCAATTACCATTAATTTAATATCTCAAACTTGCTCTGTCATTCTTTTTTGTACAGTTGTCTCCAATTACCATTAATTTAATATCTCAAACTTGCTCTGTCATTCTTTTTTGTACAGTTGTCTCCAATTACCATTAATTTAATATCTCAAACTTGCTCTGTCATTCTTTTTTGTACAGTTGTCTCCAATTACCATTAATTTAATATCTCAAACTTGCTCTGTCATTCTTTTTTGTACAGTTGTCTCCAATTACAATTAATCTAATATCTCAAACTTGCTCTGTCATTCTTTTTTGTACAGTTGTCTCCAATTACCATTAATCTAATATCTCAAACTTGCTCTGTCATTCTTTTTTGTACAGTTGTCTCCAATTACCATTAATTTAATATCTCAAACTTGCCCTGTCATTCTTTTTTGTACAGTTGTCTCCAATTACAATTAATTTAATATCTCAAACTTGCCCTGTCATTCTTTTTTGTACAGTTGTCTCCAATTACAATTAATTTAATATCTCAAACTTGCCCTGTCATTCTTTCTTGTACAGTTGTCTCCAATTACAATTAATTTAATATCTCAAACTTGCTCTGTCATTCTTTTTTGTACAGTTGTCTCCAATTACCATTAATTTAATATCTCAAACTTGCTCTGTCATTCTTTTTTGTACAGTTGTCTCCAATTACAATTAATCTAATATCTCAAACTTGCTCTGTCATTCTTTTTTGTACAGTTGTCTCCAATTACCATTAATTTAATATCTCAAACTTGCTCTGTCATTCTTTTTTGTACAGTTGTCTCCAATTACCATTAATTTAATATCTCAAACTTGCTCTGTCATTCTTTTTTGTACAGTTGTCTCCAATTACCATTAATTTAATATCTCAAACTTGCTCTGTCATTCTTTTTTGTACAGTTGTCTCCAATTACCATTAATTTAATATCTCAAACTTGCTCTGTCATTCTTTTTTGTACAGTTGTCTCCAATTACCATTAATTTAATATCTCAAACTTGCTCTGTCATTCTTTTTTGTACAGTTGTCTCCAATTACCATTAATTTAATATCTCAAACTTGCTCTGTCATTCTTTTTTGTACAGTTGTCTCCAATTACCATTAATCTAATATCTCAAACTTGCTCTGTCATTCTTTTTTGTACAGTTGTCTCCAATTACCATTAATTTAATATCTCAAACTTGCTCTGTCATTCTTTTTTGTACAGTTGTCTCC